TATGATAAAATATTCATTTATTACCAAGTAGTTTTTCCTTCCCATTTCATGTTGCATTAATTTTATGAAAACAATCATGATTTCTACTTTCTTTTCTTGTTTGTAGCTTTATGACTTAACAATTATCATAAATTTACCAATTTTAATTTTAATGTTATGTGCTTGTTTGTGTTTCCTCACTATCTATTTATATATTTTCATGTACCTTATTCTGTTGTTTGTGTATATTTTTTTCTGTTTCTACAGCGAAAAGAAGAGCAAAGTAAGAATGAATGAAATATAATAAAAAAACATGTGTTATATATGGGAAATGGAAAAAAGCAATAAAGAATAAATCTTTGGCACACGGTTAGCGCTAGCAATCTTTGATAACAACATGTATGGGGTGAAAAAGAATACACATTTTCCATAATAATAAATGTAGGACCAAGCACAAAAGAATGAATATTTGTTTGAAGACATAGAATAAGAAAGGAAAGCAGAAATTTCCGGATCGTCATTTTATTGTTGCTGATGATATTGCTGACATAAATAAGGCAAAAAGAAGACTTTTTAAGGTTTGTTAACTGTTTTAAATGCCTTCATTATTTTTTCGTCTACTTGTTCATGAAAAAATTTTGTCACTTTTTTCTCAGCCTTTGCTTAAATGTTCATCAAAATTTTTAAAATATCTCATTATCAAATTTTAAGACTTGAAAAAAATTATTCATTATTAATGCAGGCAATGTTGGCTGACCATCTGCTTTTTTTTCAGAAGACAGTCCTCTATTATTTTCATTTTTCAAAAATAAAATAGTTCTTTTTTGTCGACAAAACGAATAAAATTGGTAGACACGTGGGAATTCCTCAATTTTTCTGTCATATACTCTATTTTTTCAAAAAATATCAGGTCATTCTAGCTAAATGTGACAAAATTGAAACTTTCAAGAAGACATATATCCTACAAATATTTTTAAAACCTAGCTGGGTTTTAAGAGTTTTGATTTATACTTCAAAACAGTCAATAATAAAGATTTGATGTAATGATGAAGTTTCTTGATGGTAATTGTTGATTTAGAAACAATTTCAAAATTTAGAAGATGAGAAACTTGGTTTTTTTTTTAATTTTTGTTGGCATAGTGCAAAAGCCTTGAAAGGATACAAATACAAAAAATTCACAAATGCTTGCAAAATGAGTGGGGGTGAACGAAGGATAATAAAAAAATAAAGAAATAAAATAGAGAGGATGAATGCAAGAAATCGTTGTGTGTTGATAATAAAGAAATATGCACGGGACATAAAGATATAGCTTCATTGGTTTATCATTTCTAAATGGACTTTCTTCATTTCCCTTTCCTTACTATTTACCATACAAAAATAAGCATCAGCATGCGGAACAAGAAATATGAATGAGAGGAGAGAAAGAAAAGTCAAGTCAAGACACAAGTATGTATGTATAAGCATCATTTTATCTTAAAGACTATAAATTTCCATTTTCGAGAGCAGAAGGAGCATAGCGTGTACTGTGAAGAATGAAAAGATTTGGGTCTCATTTTCTCATAAATTCTTATCTATGAATTGCATCACTTAATAAGCAACGCAATTTAATAATAAAAGAATAAAAGCTCAGCTAAAAGGAAGAAAAGTTTCCATCTCTTTTCATTTCGTGTCAAGTCGAGAGACTGCCGCTGTGCTTCATTCTATTATACTTGAATAGATGGAAGGAAGGAAGATGAAAAATATTTATTTAATGTCCGGACATTCATACATACATATTGATCTTCCTCCACACTTCACTAAATAATAATAATAATAATCATCATCATCAACACGATGAGTTTCAATCTTTATTTCTTCTTCCTTTTTTCGTTTCGTTAGTGCCTTGAATTAATTTTTTTATGCGTACGTACATCAAAATGTACCTTATGCCATTCCTTCCTGTTCATATAATTCGTCGAAGGTTCTACTCTGTTATAATAATATGACCATGAAATATTAAATTGCTTTCATGACACGCCATGGCAGTGTGTATCTATGACAATCATTTATTTTGTATCCATAAACAGACACGTATGTATAGAGGGAATGTGGGATGGCATATGACTTTGGAATTTCTTCTCGGTTCTTCTTCATCATCTCGTGTGTATGATATATTATCACTGATACAGAAATACTGATTGAGTAGGCAAAGTCGTGACCGAAATTCATAAAAAATCATTTTCGGGAAGTATTTTTTTCTGCAGTTCCAGCTCAACAGAAGTGAAGAAATATCAGATAGATTTTTTCCTCTTTCCTGTTTTGTTGATTCTTTCTTGATGAAAAAAAATACAGAACTTTCCGTTCGCATCTTCTTCGCTTTCTATTATTTTATGTCAGTCAGGAAAAAAAATTTGAAGATGCGTGAAAATTGGAAAGAAAATGAAAGCAATTTGGTAATGCTCTGAAGCTCCTAATGAAATAGCTAATGTATGCGTGCATGACTATGCGAGATCTTTCTTTCCCGTAATTCAATAAAATAAAGGTTTCTAGAGATTTTCGGTAAGGTCTGCTGAAATCGCTTGTGAAATTTCTTATTGTCTTTCTATGCTTGTTATTTAAACTATTATAATGAGTTATCTGTGACATGGTATTTTATTTCATTTGAAAAGTTCTAAATCTTAGAGCATTTAAAACCAAAATTTTTTAAAACACCCATGCAAAAAAAAAACCGATTGCATACTGAAAATCCTGCGTCAACCTCACTAATCTGCTAGAAAAAATCCTCACAGTTTGTTCTACCTACAGTCATTGCATTTTGTTCCAATTTTTTTAAAAACTTTTAAAACCATCTGACATGTAGAAGAGGTCATATTGAATACTGACCAGTTTTAATAGAAAAAATTCCCATTGCATTTTTCATCTGATATGTGAAGTAGGAAAATTCAGCATAGAAACTCCAAAAACTAACAAAATAAAAATACGGAAATGCTTAATCTTGATTGAAATACAGTAGAAAAAATTGGGAATTTGAGAAAAAAAGGAGTTTTTTGCTATATGGCATTGAAAAAGGAAGCACCGAAAATTGAAATCTTGATTTATTGGATTAAATTTATTTCTACAACAGTTAAAATAAAAAGAAAAGAAAAAATATAAATGAATTCAACCTTTAAGACCATCAGACATTAAAATTTAAAAAGTTTTGATGCTTCCATGAAAGAAGTATCAGCTGCTGTGATAGTATAATATTCGAAAAAATTTCTGCTGATATTTGAATGAGCCATTGGTTTTAGAACCAATTATATTAAAATAAAGTAATTTTTTGGTAAAGGATCATATTATGTTTATAAAAGAGGACGTGAATGCGATATTAATGATGTGCTAAATTCACATATTATGCTAATGTCATTTCCAGTAATATCATCGCTTTATTTTAATAATCGCTTAATCTCCGATACATCAATGCTATAAACTCAAAAATATTGTTATGGTATAAACTTTAATATGATTTAGTCATAAACCAGTATTGAGTATCGAAAAATACGCTCGTTAAAACTAATAAACGTGCTCATACTTTTAATGTGATTCTGTAAATATGAACTCAATCTTTCTTTAAAAATTTTTTTGAGGAGTGTAGTGAAAGCAAGTTGAGTATTTTTTTTTTTAAAATTACCTTTTTATTTTAGACACAGTTTCAGTTATGATGTTATTGACATAAGTTGGATAAGTTTCTGCGATTTTGATAATTTTGTGACAAGGAATAAAACGAACGTTTCCAATAAATACAAAGTTGATTAATCTGGTAGAAAGATTTCCAGATAAAAGTATTTACGAATTTTAAAAAAGATTTTAAGGTTCTAAGGTTCTTTACTATATTCAATAAAGCATTTCATTTTGTTTAACGAAATAAAAAACCTTATTTTTAAAATGTATTCATGTTTTTAATATGTTGTTAAACCTTTTGCTGAGAGAGCGAGAAAAGTAATTACATTTTTTTTTATGATGTGTATAAAAAGCTTTTGCGATTAAAAATAATAAATATAAAAAGAGTTAAGTGAGTAGGGATGTGAATACTTTGCAAAATTAAAGGTATTTTAATGAGGAAATAAATTTATTGGAGCTTTAATTTTAACACCTGGGAGTTGAAGGGTGATATAATGTTATGTGTTTTACAAGCAAAATGGATGTTTCATGGAGATTTTTAGAATCATTTTTCATAGCCTCGTTTATTTTTGTTTTAGCTTTCCGAAAGAGATGCTTTGGGGATTGCAAGACGATTTTGTTTAATTAATCCATCGATAAAGCTCCTATCTTTGCTACATTAAGAGTTGTTTCTTACTTAACAACCCAAACTATATCGACTCAAAAGATTTATTCAAATAATTATAGCCAATATAAGTTAATTCTCAGTAGAATAATTCTGTTCTTTATAAATTAGCTCCATTTTCAATTTTATGGCATGTTCCCAAGAAAATACAAACTCATCTCTTAAAACAACAGAATTTAATCAAAAGAAAATGATGATGCAAACGCTTGTTTGCCTAACAATAACATTAAGTGCTTTTCAGCTTCTTCTTCGCTTATTCAAAAAAGAAACTTTTCAAAAACACACAAAAATTGCACTATATTGCGAAAAATTTTCGTGGCAATTTGCTTGAAATACTTTTATGAAATGGAATTTAATTTTAAACTTGTTATTTCAAATGAGAATGTATTTAAAATCTTATTGCATTGCCACATTTAAATATAAATGTATAATATTAATGCATATTTGAAGAAAATCCCTTTCTCGTTATGGCTCACTTTTCCACCAAAGAAGCTTAGAGAATGCTTTTACCTTTATTGCAAACAAAATGAGAGAAATATTCAAATGCAGTTTTTGCTTCTTCGTTTTCCTTTATAAAATCTTATCAGGAATGTGCAGTGAAATACATTAAAAGATTAAGTCTGAAACATGAAAATGATGATGAAGGAAAAAGATGTTCTTCGTATTATTTTTTTTAAAGTAAATGCTTCAGGTTTATGTAAATTTTTATTTTTATTTTCCCCTCCTTCTTTTATTTCGTTAAAGGTCACAAAAGTTTTTCTTTTTCTCTTCCAATTTAAACTTGAGCTTTATCTAATGGATTTTCTGTTTTACTTGTGCCGAAAAATTTCTGTACTTTGTTGAGAATCACAAAACCAAAAATCAGTCCAACTGTTGTTGCAGCAACATTTGCTCTCCCACGGATTGTTGAATTATTAAAATATCGATTTAAACCTTTCAGAGATGGATCGTCAAATTTGTAGCCATGATGGTCATATAAAACTTCATTACTTTCGACTGTGGATTTTAAGTTTCCAGACATTTTTTTAAATTTTTTTCTGCTGAATTTGTGAAATATTTTTTTAAAAGCCTACTGAGATAAAACATAAATTTGCTTCCCTTTTCTCCATAAGAATTTATATAATCAGTTCACATCAATTTTTTATGACTACAAATTTAAATGCTGTGTAAATCCAGTACGTACACATCCTATGAAGAACAGAGTAAAGCTTTTAGGCTTTTTCAACATTTAGATCTAAGTAGCATGTATCGCACACATTTTATATGCATTGATGGTATTTGGAAAATTCTTTATGAATTTGTTTCTCTAATTTTTATTTACAAACATGCGTGTGCTTAAGTAAGTTGAGATATTGGCATCGTAAACTGAAAATGCATAAAATATTTTGGTATTTTTATGTGGTTCGTATTTTTTTTTATTTAAAATTCACGATCAACATTTCTGCCATTAAAAGTTCGGTAAGTGATTAGAAGTGACAGACTAATCCTTGACATTTTGTTAAGCTGACACTGAACGCTTCTGAATGTTATATTCCCATATAAATTGATTTTGAAAAGCACGAATTAATTAAATTTCTTGTTTTTCCCGTCATTTATCATGAGTGGATTATTCTTAGAAGCAACGATGAAATTTCGTCTCATAAAATAAATAAAGTATTCCGACTGTAAGTATACTAGATAAGAATTTTTCATAATACAATTTTTAAGAGTTTAACAAGAAAAATTAATAGAAACGGAAGCAGACATTGTTGTATAATAAGAAAATCATAGTAAACATGATATATGAAAATCGATTAATAAACATATCTCAAAGATATAACATGGCGCAGTTGAAAATTAGTGATTTGGTGACTCCAATCGACCTAAACGCAAACTCTTTGAGTGAAGAATGGAAGAGATTTAAGAGTCAAATAAACTGTTTGTTTGAAATCAACGAAATTAACAGCAAAAACGACAAAATCAAAATTTCATATCTGACGTTACTCATTGGAAATGATGCAGCTGACTTGTTCGATCATCTAGGATTGTCTGAAGAGGATAAGAACTGTTTTGAAAAACTCATCGATGGTTACGAAAATTGCTTTAGACTGAAAACAAGCATTTATGTGAATCGAATGAAGTTCTATCAAGCGTTCCAAGACGATACAGAGACATTTGTTCAGTTCGTGTCAAGAGTTCGAAAGTTGGCTTAAAAGTGTGACTTCAAGGAGAAAGAAGAACAAATTAGAGATCGGTTGGTGATCGGAATGAAAAATTCAAAAATGCAAGAAAAATGAATTGTTGAAGAAGAATTTTCATTACATGCTATAATTGAGAAAGTGCGTTTCCATGAATGGCAGATCGATGAATTGGCAAACTTGAAGGAAGAAATGAATCTGAAGATCAGCAATAAAAAGTCTTCTAACAACTACAATTGTACCAAAGAGTCTTCGAAAGTCTTTAAGCCTGCAGCTAGCAAGTATATGAATGACTGTCAGCTTGAATGTAGCGAAGCAGTATGTAAAGAAGGAGGAAAGGTTGTTGCAATGAAAAACAAGAATAATAGCAAAGAAGAGTTTATTGTTAGTTCTGATTCAGTCAACTTTCTTGGTAGTCTGATTTGGTATAAGAATTTGAAAATTAGTGACAAGTTGGTTAAATTTAAATTAGATACAGGAGCACAAATTAATACAGTTACTGAAGGAATAGTGAAGAGTTTTAAGCAAAATTTTGAAATCATTCCAGGTAAAGTTAAGCTTCAAGCTTACTCGGGTGGGATGATCAAGCCCATCGGCAAAGTTATATTGCCAAAAGTTAGTGTTAAGAATACATTCTATGAAGAATTCGAGCCATTGCTAGGATTAAAATCCTGTGTAAATATGAATTTGATTCCATTAATTTGACGCCATTAATAATGTAAAACATCTTCATAATGATACAGAAATGGTTAAGCTTAAACAGCATTATAAGGATGTTTTTGAAGGTTTAGCTAAATTTAAGAAGCCTTTCAAATTATATTTACATGAAAAAGCTATTCCATTTGCCGCAGCACCTCATAAAATTCCATTAAAATTAAAGGATAAAGTCCAAAATAAATTGAATGAGATGGAAAATCTAGGTGTGATTGAGAAAGTGAAAAAGTAAAAAAATAATGTAAAATTTGAACTTTTAAAGCTATTAGGTTGAATCTCATTTAAGAAAAGATTTAACAGGCATTTTATGTTGCATGTTCTTAAAATTTGGTGCAGTATCTTTTAACTACAAAAGTCTAATATCATGCTCTCTAACTTAATACTTAGACCATCAACATCCAAGATAAGCATACCTGATGATTTTACGAGATTCTCATCAGAAATAGATCACAAGCATAAAATAACATCCTCTAGCAGAGAGCTTTTTATAGGTTACCCTTTAATAAAATGAAATACTCGAAATTCAATTTAGGAAAAATATGTAGATGAGAAAAAAGCTGCCATTAAGTGTTTCACATCGTAAATGATTTCACTAGAAAAATGAAACTTTTTATTTATATAATTTGAGGTATTACATTGTATGAAGCATTACAAAAAGGAAATTTTTGTGTTAATGTTACGAGAATTTTTTTTTATCTCATTTTAAATCGCATTAGTTTCAGTAATTTAAGCGCATTATTGCAGTGCAATTTTATTTTCAAGCTATTTCTAGTCCCAATGAGCAGCTGGTACATAAGTATGATATAATTGTTGTTGATGATAATGTCTAAGTGGGTGATTTTGCACTGTCTGTTGCTGTTGTTGAGCTGCTGCAAGCTTCTGCTGTTGACGTTGTCTCTGTGTATCCCATGATGAATAATATCTCAATCTATTCTCTGTAGAAAATGTAAAGTACATAAATTTAAATTAAAATGAAATTATTAAAGCAAAATGTCTCTTACGTCTCAGTTGATTCTTTGCTAGTATAAATTCTTCATTCAATTGTCTACTCGTTGGATGTTGCTCATGTTGCGTGTGTGTTACTGCCTTAGGATTTTGTTGATGCTTTCTAAGTTCATGGGGAGAATGTTGTTGATTTTGATGATGCTCTCTGTGCTGCTGCTGTTGTTGATTATTATTATGAATTCTCCGATGTACCTTGACATTTTTGATTATACAGCCTCGAGGTAAGTGCCACTAATTGAATGTTAGTGAAAAGAAGGAAATTAAGGAATGGAAATTTTCTTATAAAGTAATAATTTAAAGGTTGTTTTGTTGTTGTATAATTTAACGGAAATAACGAGAATGAGCTCAAAAAAGTATTCAAACTTTCTTTTTTTTCCCCTCCATGTCGTTAATTGAAAACATTTTCATTCCTTCTTTGTTTCTTTCATGAGAATTAACGTGAAAAACTTTTTCCTCACTTTTGTTCATTTCTCGTATTTGCGATTTGCGAAAGCTTTCAGGCAAAATTAAAATTTAATTGTTTTACGAAATATGAAGAGAGTTGGAAGAGAGATGAAAGCGGACCCCGTGATTTGGCATGAAACGGAGCGCATTTTATTGCCGCATTAAATGAAAGAAAAAAAGTTTCTCGAAATTACTTCAGACTTACTCAAGAAAATAAAAAGGATCTTTGTTGCTTGTGGGCATTTTTTGAGAGTCTATAGCTTTTGGCATTTTTGTTATCACATCAACAAATTATTCAGAGATAAGTTAGACGAACGAGTCTCATTAAAAGAGTAAACTATCATTATGGCTCTATTGGTGCGGATTAGTATTGATTAGTTATGGTCAGAGATTTTGAAGCAATAAAGTTCTATCGATATGCAGGCTAGATAAACAATTTAGTTGTTGCTTATTACTGTTTTCAAAACGCCATTAATTTAACTTGTTTTTTAAGCTTCGTAAGTGAACTCCTTAAAGCGCTAATAAAGACAATTTAATAAAATCAAAACTTTTCATTCCTAATGTTCTGTCTAATGAAGCAATCGAAAATAAATTTGTGACCCAAAAATGACAACCGAGATGGAAATAGGTACTAAAAGCAAATAATTGCTCCATATTGAAAAACAAATTGTATCGAATTGATACTTCTGTAGACTCATTAAAAATTTAAATTGCGCTGTCAAAAAGTAAAAATTGAAATGGAGAATCTTTTTCCAATTTATCACGAAAATCAAATTTCAATTTTCAATTTTGTTCATTTGGAAGCCTTGAGTAATTAAAAATTTATTGGATATCAAATGAATTAAAATCTATCTACATTGGATGCACGACTATCTGTGCATGTTTTGAAATTCATTGTATTTATTCAAAGCATTGATATAGTATCAAGTTTTTAGATTAAATGCTAGAATGCCCAATGGAAACTATTTGAGATTAATCATTTATGAATTTAAAAACTTGTCTCTATCAATTAAAATTATGCATTTGTTACAGTTATGTATGATTGAAATAGTTTTTTAATTTTTAAAGATTTCAAAAAATCACACAAAAGTCTGGAAACCCGCTTGAAAATTTGAAAGTTTCAAATTGATAAATTATTGATCAAAATTGTTGTTTGAAAATTTAAAAATCTAAAACCCGATAAAAATGTGTTGTATACCAAGTTCTCATTCGCATCTCAAATATTCATTTCCTCTGAAATATTTATCGCTATGGAAGAAAATATACTTAAATTATGAATTAGTTTTTGAATGTCTTTTATTACAATTTGATTAGAAAACTTTTATTGAGTTTGTAAAATGGAAAATTTATTAAAATTTAAATGTTTTTGTTATACAAATTTATCGTTAGCTTTTTTAATTAAATTAAATTAAATTGAACAAAAAATTAAATTAAAACTTTCCCAAAACAATCATTAGTTACAATCAACGAAACAAGGTCTCATTTTATTGAGATTTTTCCAAAAAAATTGTAAAATAATACTTAAAAATAAATTAAAATACACAGCAGGAATATTTATTGTTTAGCTCAATTTTATCGGATGTCATCAATCAGTCAGTAAATAAATTTCTAAAGGACTCATGTTTTCAATAAAAAAAAATTCACTTTTGTTTTTACAAACATTAAAATGAATTTTGAAGGATACATTTTCTTATGTTTTATTTTTGAACGGGATTCTTAAAAATTGAAAATGGAATTAATTGAATTAACACTAAATCACAGTTATAAAGTTTAAACAGCTTTTTTAATTGCAATTTTGTTCAGTATGTGTTGTTAAAACAAAGATTAAAATCAATGTTCATTAAAAAAAATAAGACATAAAAATTAAAACTAATTTAATTAATTTAAACAATTGAATCGAATATGAAAAGTTTCAAGGATCGGAAAGTTTTTTTTTTAACAAAAAGGCACCTGAGGTTCGAAGTTAAGTGCAAAAAGGATAAAATTTCAAAAGACCAACAATATTGTGAAATTTTCAAAGGATGGTATTGAAATTTGTTTGCATGGACAGGGAAAATTAGGGAGGGTTTGGGATTTTTTTCTTAAAAAATCATGGCAAATAGAAGAATTTTTTTAAAGAAGGGCCTCAAATCCCCCTAGTTTAACAAATCCATGTAATAAAAAATTAATAAAAAAATTGGTTATTAACTTAGTTGTCATCTCTCTTTCAGAATTGCTGGAATTGCTGTTGAAATAATTAAAAACTGTCCCAGGTGCATTTGATACTTTTCAATCCATTTAATTGAATAACTTCCACCTCTAATTGCGTTGAAATTTCAAGATATTCATGAATAAAAGACTTTATGATTTGAGCACTCATTCAATGAATTTTATATGAACTTGAAAGAGTGTTCAAAATTTTCAACATAATTATAAAGCAAAATAAAAAAAAAACAACAACTTTTTTGAAAAAAAAAATCATAAAATGAAATAAAAATGTTCAACATGGGAGCAGAGAGGAAAATTTTCATTCATCACATTCAGCATGAAGCAGTTTTATTTTTCAATCTCAATTTTTTCACCATATAAAAAGAAAAACTTTTTTCTGTGCAAAAAGTTTTTTTTTGAATTACTCATAGGGAAAAAGCAGCAGTAGAAATGAAATTTATCAGAATAAAAATATCATTTCATAAAAAAAATAGATAAGCATAACATAAACACGTTTTATATCATCATTTTACTCAACACAGAACAACTATAAAATGCTTCTGCAGTATTTCCTATCTTTGCAATTTATAATTGACAAGAGAATTTCGACTGTTGCCCTTTTCACTACTGCTTTCTATTATTCCACACAAACACACATACTGTAGGTTGTTTGAAATTCAGTATGTTTTTGATATAAAATATACTTTTTTTTTTCTCTCGGTTAGGTTATAAGCTTCGTTTATTGTTGCTAATATTCTATGGGTATATTTTTAACAAAGAAAATTTTGTGTCAAATGATTGTCAGATTTTGATGACTGTATAATTCTCGAATTTTTTTACTTTGAAACGAAGTTTCTTTGATCTTTGAACAATTGGAATACAATATTTAGTGAAATTTAAAAAAAAACAGTGCCTTTCATTAATATAACATAGATTCACCTAAATCTTCTAATGCTTCTTTCAGTGTGTTAAAACATTTTTTCCTCTCTGTTATTCTTAACATGTTTTTTTGGACGGAGCATTTTACTCATTTTCATGTTGAACATTTAAACAAATAGACAGAACAGCTACATTCAATATCTGATATCATTCCTCTTTCTTCTTCCCATGAGAGCTCTTTCATTGTTTATTTTTATTTTTATTTTTATTCATTCACTCTCTCTGAATTTCAACTTCTTGTGCTATGCTGCTTTTTTAACATCATTCTGATGATGTTGTTTTGCTGCTAAATTCTGCTCACTTTATATTTGTTTTCCACTTGAAACAAACTCATCTTCTGTTGAATGCACAATCCAATGATAAATATTAATAATATGTTTAACATTTCCATTCTCGACATCCTTGTTATTATTATTGTTATTATGATCATTACTATTATGCTTGTTATTCATAATTAATTTACTTTTATTGTTGCCTCGTCTCAGTTTATTGTCAATAATATTTTTCTCGTCATTCGAGGCACTTAAAGTACTGTCGACATAATTTGTTATTAATTTATTATTATAATAAGCATTAATTTTGTGCTGATGATTGTTATTTGCATGATTTTTATTAAACTCTTTTTCTACAATTTGCAAATAAATCTCATCGCTGGCATTGTTGTTGCTCGTTTGATGTGTTTCATGTTGATTAGCTTTACTGTGTTTGGAATTATTGATATAAATGTTAATACTCACTGGTTGATTTACTCCTATTTCAATCGGTGATTTACCAGGACATATCAAATACGATTTATGGTTTTCCATGCGATGGTGGGGTTTATTATGCTGATGCTTTTGATTATCATAGCTTTCCGCTATTGAGTTTGTTTCTAATGAAATCCTCTGAGTTGGATGCTGTGGATCATGTGACCCTGAAAAAAGAGGATATTTGAAATTATTTGCTTATTTTTGTACACAAATTTGATTTCTATCTATGGCGCACACTTTGTATATGAACACACAGTATTCGTCATGTTCTGATAGATTTTTGAGCCTTTGTTAAGACGTACTATCACAAAATGTAACCAAAATTTTTAGTTGACTGGTGAAATGATTGTAGAGTAATGTCTTAATAAAAACAACCAATTTCAATTTTTAACTAAAACCATTCGCTTGAATTCTTTTTTCCTAGCAATAAGCAGTACATTACAGATAAAAAGAATTGTGCGTTTTAATAGCATGCAATTTTGTAAGTTATGGCAAAGTACCTTTCACAGTTATTCTAAAAGTACATTTTGCGGTTAATCCTTCCTCTGCTGTGGCTATATACGTGATTACATGAGTTCCAACACCAAAAGTATGTCCAGGCACTTTTGATTTAAAAACATGCTTTAGGGGACGTTTACTTTCAAATGATGGCTCCTTCCAGTGAATAGGTCTTGATGTTTCATATGAATTGAGATGAACGATAAATGGTTCCGGACAGTATGTAACAGTAGGTGCAACGGGATCTATAAAATGACCACAAAGAGAACAAAATAATTCAAAATTTCATAGATATTGAAAAAAATTATGCATGTTATATTTCATACCAATGACATTGACAATAACTCGACACATGTCGAACAAATTATTATGTGGACTTCTTGCTCTAAATGTGACTTCAGTTGCACCAGTTGACAATGTTGTTTCTAATTTCTTACCCCACAATGGCTGTGAATCAACGTACGAATCCCAATCCACATTTGTCTTTGGTTTTTCTATTCGAACTAATATTGTTTCGTGGTTTTTTGGTTTAACAATTGTCATATCTTCTGGACATTTTATTGTCGGTCGTACTGAATATTGTTGTACTGTGTGTTGTTTCTGTTGATGTTGTGATGTTAGTGGAACGTTTGATGGTCTAACCGGAATGCATTGAAGCTCAGCATTTGGTTGCCATTCAAGATTACTATTACATATAGCCACTCGTTTACCTAATGCCTTATATCCACTCGGACAATGAAGGAAGCATCGTTCTCCAGCAAATGTATCACCATACATGCAATTTGTTGGTAAAATTGTTCCATATTCTGGCTTCAATAGACGAGGACATGCAAGAGCTAGATGAACATAAAGTGGTTTGAAAAACAAATTATTTTCTGTGCTCATTCTTTACAAAAACTATTTTATGAAATGTTGTATACAAGAGTGGAAAAGAAGGATGTTAATATTAAAAAAAATATGTTCAAATTTATTGCACAAATGCCATTCATTCTCATTTTTCTCAATAATATCTTGTGATACAATACAACTCTTGAACATGGATGCAAATAAAACATACACTGACGAAATTTATTGATGAGAGTTTTTAAAATTTTGGTTAATTCTGGAGTGAAAACAATCTCAAATGCATTTTATTATTAGTCGTGATGCCAATTCTCTTTTCAATTTTTTTTTAACAATTACTAGTTAAATTTTGTCTTTTCTCATTTGACAAACATTCTTTAACTGGAATTCTGTCAGATGAAATTCAATTTTCTTAAAGTTTAATTTCAAAACGGAGAATAAAGTTCTAAAGCTGCTTTAACTGTAGCTACTGTTTGCAAACTTAATACAGCAGATAATTTACTGTTAAAACAGAAATCTTTCATGTGCTTATTTTTATGCAATAAAAAATAGACAACAAATTTATCTGACTTCCTCGTTATTTACATTTCAGATAAAAGTTTGTAATGTTTTTTCATTCGGTGCATTGCATTTCCATCATCATTTTCCAGTTTTAGTGAAGTTTATTTAACATCGAAGTCAATTTCTCGAGGGATTAAGGAAAAAGAATATTTATTGAATTTACCTCAATCATTCACTTAAGTAAGTAGTAGTGATTATATCGAGAATATAGTTACAGAATAAAATATATAATAATGAACCACCAATAAAAAGAGAGAAGAAAGAAAGATTTTTAAGATAAAGTCGAATGAAAAAGAGATCAGAAGAGTATAAAAAGTCAAAAAGTTATGATGGCAATAAACGAATTCACAAGGATACTTACGCATACAAATTGGATTCCCATAATCGTCCCAATGTCCTGTTCCATTACAATGCTTAATCGATGGTCCGTGTAATTTGTATCCTTTTAGTATGGAATAAAAAAATAAAAATAATGAAAAGTCAATGTTAGAGCAATTTGAGTAAATCTATTGTTCAGTTTTTTGCCTTCTTTCCCGTTCATTGCTTTTGAAAAACAGAATCAACCACTTAGATGAGAAGATAAAGAAGAATGGAATTCAAGCTGTTTTTGTGTGGACATGTGATGTAGAGAATTCCTTTTGTGGTAGCTAGTCATGAAAGTTTTACTGTTTTACTTCTTACAATTTTTTTTAAACTTTTACGTTCAAAAGTGAACAACCAAAGCATTTAAGAATTTCATGCATAAATGCACTCAATTCTACTGTCTACAAACGATTTTAAACTCGTTCATTTTCCATTGATTTCAATCGGTCTTATAGAAAATTGAACGCTTATTGAGGTAAAAAAAACGAAAAAAGGCAAAACCAATTTCACATAAATTTTATACAAACCTTTGTCACATGAAATTGCGCATTTTGTACGATAGAATAGCTGTGTTTTGTGCCTTTAAATGTAATGAAAAATTATTGATGTAGCATAATACAGCAACAGTAATAGCAGAATATACACAAAAGAAAGAAAATTAAATTGAAAATTATTGCCCAACACGACAGGAACAACAAAAAAAAATTAATTTTTCCACATTTTTATTCCAGTTCATTCTTACCTCGAGCGTGAACATCGTGCATTGCCATTCTTTACTATTAATGGCTTACATTCATTTTTGATTTCAATACATTCGGTTTTATCGCGTGATAATTTAGAACCATTGGGACAAACGCATTTATATGCGCCGGCTGTGTTAATACAATTTGCTGTTGTTGGACAACGGAAGCTTCCTATTTTACATTCATCAATGTCTATGCACTGCTCATTTTCGTTCGCTTTAAATCCGAAAAAGCATTCACAACGATAGGAACCGACAATGTTCACACACTGCTGTTGACAGCTATACACAGTAGAGTCAACGATACATGAAAATAAAATAGAATCAAAAATGCAACAATTTAATTAATCGGACGCAAAGTTTTTCTGCTGTTTATGGCTGTATATAGCATGAATCGTATGACATTATATGATTATAATAACACGACATGAATTGTGAATTTCTCTTTAACAGCAATATAGCAACGGACTGGATAGTCATAAAATATTCTATGCGTATACATGAAAAATGATAAAATTCAATTACCTGTGCTCGTTGTTACATTCATTTATATCATTGCATTTTGTTCTATCGTGTTCATCGATCGTAAAGCCCTTTCGACATGAGCAAACTGTGTGATTATTATGGAATTCACATAATTGGCTACAACCACCATTATTTGTTGCACATGGATTGAGACTCTCACAGCTCTTTCCATCAGCAGCAAGAATTAAGTCTTTTAGGCACGAACATGTGTAACTTCCTTCCGTATTCGTGCAAGCTCCTTCACATTCATGAATTCCCAATTTACATTCATCGATATCTATACAGCTCGTATCCTCGTTTGATAGTTCATATCCATTATTGCACTTGCAGACGAAACTATGGTTTTTTAAAAGAAAAAAATGAACAAGAGGAAACGTGTGTAGAAAAAGATGGAGAGAATAAGGGATGAGCAAAAAATACTAAACTTTTTTCTTTATTTGATGTTTGAAAAACTTTTTAAAATGTGAAAGAAAATCAAACTAGGTAAGAGAAAAATTTCAAAAATACTTCATGCGTAGTTTAATATGATATACAGGAAATAAGGAAAAATGCAAAAACTTCACATTGTTGAAATGATATGCATAGTTCGAGATATTTTATAAAAGCATACCCTGATTTTAAGTTATAAATAAGCCAGTGGCTTAGTCGAGAAAAAACTGAAAAATCAAAAAATTTTATTGAAATATTAAATACTGAATTTAAATTTATCTTGAAACTATTCTAGATGTTAAATTCTATCATTTAATAAATATTTAATAATTTTATGTAGTTTAATTAATAAAAATTGGCACTGGCTTATTAGTGAGAACAAAAAAGTTTTTGAGTCAAATTTTCTTTAAAAAGCCACTGGTTTAGTAAATAGTAGTGGGTCATAACGTAAGAACAGGGTATATCATAAAAAATATTGTCATCAAGATATTCAAATAAATTACAGCAGCAACAGAAAACCTTAAAAAATTTAAACCTTAATAAGGCAATTTGTTTTTTTATTAACCTGAAACGTTAAACATTTAGTTATTGTCAACTTATCTAGAACGAGAATTTTGAAAAAATTGTAACCGAAAGTTAATTTTTAAAGACTTTACTTGAATGTTCTTTAAATAACTTTTTTTCCTTTCTCTCATAACATTTCTAACATAATTTAAATCTTCAATGATTTAAAGCTTTAGAGATGAAAGCAAATATCATAAAAGTATAACTGATTCAAAAATAAATCATAGAGTTCCATTAGAAAGATTTGAGCATAACATAAAGGACTTTTTTTTTCAAATCTCAGAAACTTTCAATCGAAGTGACAAAAATCTTAATACAATCATTTCCTATTCTTTTCTAATCTTTGTCATTTATAGAAAATTTTCCTTTCGATGAGCTATTTTTCTTTTTTTAAAGCAATCCGAAGTACATTTGTCGTTTTTGTTTCTTTTTTCTCGTTTTCAAATAAACACTGTCTGTTTGACTGCTTTAAATACTAATACAAAATCGCATTTTAGGACATGTTTTATACTCATCATTTTCTTTACCTTCCATCAGTGTTTTCACAAATATGCTCGCATGGGGAATCAAATTCGCATTCATCGATGTCACGACACAGAGAAGAATTTTCTGTACTCAATTCCATACCCGTTGGACATGAACAGTTGTAGCTTTATATGTACAAATATGCAAATAAAGAACATGAGAAGAATGCGATGAAAAAAGAACGTTGACAAACATTTGCATTGAAATTCAATAATATTGATGTTTTTTTTTCTTCATTTTTTTTTGTATAGAATGATACGTACCCGCCAGCAAAGTTTATGCAGTGATGACTGCACTCATGGTCTTTATTATTACATTCATCGATATCAATACACGTTATGTCATCGTCAGCAAGTTCATACCCTTTATGGCATTCACATACAAAGGAGCCGTTTGTATTTTTACAATGTCCATTGATGCAAGGCATATCATCTTCGCATTCATTAATGTCATGACAGTTGAATTTATCATTAGCTAGTCGATATCCATTAGGACAATCACATTCATACGTTCCATCTGTATTGATACAAATGTGAGAGCAATCGTGCATATTTTGACACTCATCAATGTCTAAGCAAGTGTGATTATCCATATCTAACGTATAACCTGCCTCACAAGCGCACATTTTTGATCCAATAAGATTAATACAAATATTGGAGCAGTTTCCATTATTATCTACACATTCATCCACATCGATGCATGAGAATCCATTTTTGCTGAGCTCATATCCATCCGTGCATGAGCAGTAAAATGATCCTTCTGTATTTATACACCTCTGTTGGCAGCTGAAATGTACCACAAATTGAAACAATAAAATTTAAATATAATTAAAATATTAGAAATTGAATTTAGAACTAAGAAGAAGAGATTCAATGTTGTAAAGGATATAAAATCGATGATTTTTTATTTTATAAAAGATGCCATTTATTGTCGTTGAACGATTTTATTGTCAAGTATAATGTGAGAAGGTAGAAAGTAATGTAACAATAATTTCCTGTGAGATCTCATAAATTATTTTTGATGTGTTGGGAAAAAAATGATAAGTCTTTAAATTGAGAAATTTAATTCTGAGGAAAAAAATTAATAAACTACTTAGTTTCAAGGTTTGTGAATACATGAAGTATTTCTGGTGAGACCATTAAAAACTAGTAACGCGGATAAGAAAATGCATTAAAAAGGCATTCAGTAATAGCTTAGTTTTAAATTCTATTTCACCTACCATATGATTAAGCTCATAAAATAATCTCCAGGCAATCATAAAACACTAAACAATATCATTAAAAATTGTGGCAAAATGTAACAACTTTTATTGTAACAAAATTATAATAATCCTCATTTTTCCACATTATTTTCACTATTCAAGTCAACGATAGCAATATAAAAGGAGTTAGTATTGAATGAACTGTGTACATGTGATAAATGGAAATACAAAAAATTCAATAAAAGTGAAAACACGAGAGAGCAAAGGGTGAAGAGCGTAAATTTTAATGTTATGTCATTAGGTATACACAGTACCTGCCATTATTATCCATACATTCATCCACATCAACGCAATTTTTTTTATCGACATCATCAACTTTGTATCCTTTTCTACATGAACATGAAACTTTATTGTCCACAAAGTCACATGCATGAGCTGTGTATAGTTGTTAGTGTTGTTGTGTTTATTGTAAATAATATATTCATGTAAGGACGAGTGTTCAAAGGTAGATGAACGGATCCGAATATGTCATACAAAATTATTTAATTCAGGCAAAAAGAGCCCACGATGGGAATAAAAAAAAAGCAAACATATAAAAACGGTTAAGAGAGCAAAAAACTTTTTCATTTCAGGATCATTAATTATTCATTACCACAGCCTCCGTTATTTAGGTCACATAAATCAGAAAATCCACAAGTGTGTCCATCCGCCATCAAGATTTGACCATAGCTGCACAAGCACTGATATGTCCCGGGTAGATTTAGACATTTGTGTGAGCATGGATGACCGAGACACTCGTCAATGTCAATGCAAGTTTTATTGTTTTCTGATAACTCATAACCTTGGTGACAGTGACATGTGTAGTATCCTTCTTTATTCTTACAATGACCATTCAAGCAGATATCTCGATCCTTCTCACATTCATCAATATCAATGCATGTGCCATCATGGTTTGATATTTTATATCCATGACTACATTCAAATTTCTCCTTACACGTCACTTCGTCATCATCGAGAACATAGCCTGTTGGGCAAGAGCACATGGGCTCCAATAAGGAATCACAATAGTGTGAGCATCCGCCATTATTAATGTGACAGGGGTCAAGCTTCACACATGCTTTTAAATCTTCACTTAGGTCCATATCGTCTGGACACTCACAAATTATATTGCTTCGATGAATTCTGCATGAGCTATAAAAAAGAAGTAACGAAAAATTTGAAGAGAATTATTTCTTTTCTTTTTTCCCGATGTTATTGGATACCGTTTGGAAATGGACATTTGAAAGTTAATTAGGAACAAAAATTATTTGTAAGTGTTTTGACATTTTAACGCATTTTTCGGTTGACATTTTCTTGATTTCATTGAACATTTTCCTCCGGGAAATTTTCTAATCGAATTTTTTCACAAAATCAAAAACTCAAGCAAATCCTCAGCACGGAAAAAATTTGTCTAAAGTCCAAAGCTCCGTTAAAACCTTCCATTAATAAAAGAGAAAAATTTCATCAACCTACAATCTTTTTAATACACAAAATTAAGAATTCTTGAAATTTGATCAAGGTTTTATTATAATTTTAAAGCATAATCAAAATAGCGTTTAAATAAATTGAAAAGCTGATGCTACACACTTAACGATTGAATAGTCAACAATTTTTTATTTGATATACCCAAAGGCATAAAAGGGTGAGGAATCATATTCCTAAGTCTATTGTAAATATGTCAACAGAAAATATACTAAATAATATGGAAAGCACTTCAAACAAAATTTCCGCAATGAAGATTTTCTGACGTGGAGACAAAGAAACAGATACTTTATGTAAAGAAGGAAGAATAACCCAAATTTTTATTTATTGAATTGATATTGTCTTTGAGTTTGTAAAGGAAACGTGATGTTTCAAAGAGGTTTTAGACATTTTAGTCAGTAAAAGTTTAAAAGGTTCCGTTTATAATATTATGAGATTTTCTTGGAATTAATATTGCTTTGGTTCTAGTTTTAAGTTTTTTGCAATATTATTTTTTTTTTTAAAATATTAAATTCCCGTGGCAATCAATTTTAAAGATTTTCGACGAAAAATGCGCTAGGTCACATAAAAATAATAACAATTTTTTTATTAATAACCCACTGAGAGCATCCTCCATTATTGTTGTCACATAAACTTTTGTTCTGGTTTTGACATTCACCATACTCATCAGGCTCATCTACGCCATTCTCACATAAGCACTTGAAACTTCCGTACGTATTTTGACATGCGAGATCACCACACACATTAGTGCCATGGGAGCACTCATCAAAGTCGATACATGTCTTTCTATCATCCGAAAGTGTCAAGCCATTTGGGCATGAACAATAATAACTTCCATGAGTATTATGACATTCGTGACTACATTGGTGCTCCTTACTAATACACTCGTCAATGTCGATACATTTATCATTGTTCGACATAAATCCCGACGGACATTGACATCGCTTGCTTTCGCTGTTGATTCCTTGTTCTGTATGGATGACACAATTGCCTGGACTACACTGTTCATGATCATGAATTGTGCATTCAACAATTGAAGTGACCTCATTGTCCAGCTCATTGTTATCATCATAATCATCTTCTCCTTCATTTTCTTCCACCTCGTTAATATTATTACCTTTTATGTACTGTTGTTCATCTTTAATTTGTTGTTTGCATGTTTTCATATCATTCTGTAAAATCCATTCAGTGGGACAACGACATGAGTATCCTACGGCAAAAGATAATAACATTAGATGGATTTTGAATATTAAATGAGACTAAATCGAGAACAATAGGAAAAGCAGAGTATTTAAAAATAGAATCTGATTCATTGTACACGAAGTTCCTCAAGGCTACCAATTTAAATTAATTCTTTTCTATTCAAAATATTTCTTCATAAAAAAAATACAAGAATGAAAGTTTAAATGGGATATAAAATAAAAACAGTGAAACATTTTCAATCTCTGTCAGGACATGATTTTATTTGATGGAATATTATTATAATTAGAAATTTTATTTCAGATTGAATATCAGTGGAATAAGAGAAAGGCCTCGCTTGGCAATCCGACTACATTTTATTTCAATTTTCAGAAAACTCAAAAATTATTGTTACCTTCATGAGTGTCGACACATTCATCAGAACATTTAACTTTGTTCAATGCTGGGTTTGCCAAATCCACACAATAATCTCGAATGCAAGTTCGTTTGTCGTCATGAATATGAAAATTTTCCGGACAAGAGCAGATAAAACTTCCTGGAATTTTATAATAAGCATAATAACATGGTAACAGAATTTATTGCGTAGTTTAAAATATCAAATGTATATAACTGACCTATAAGATTTGTGCAAGCATGCGAACAGAATGTAGCCCGCGGATGATTCCCATTCTCATCTTTCTCATCGTTTTCATTCTCCTCATCATCATTTTCATAAATTTCACATTCATTGATGTCCTGACAGAAACTTTCATCCTCGGACAATTCGTATCCCTGAGGGCAGTCACATTCGACTCCTTTAATGGAAATTTATTATAATCGAAAATTAATTATGTTTAATTAATCATGAAACCGACATGAATTAATTATGATGTATCAACAAAATTATTATATTTACCATCATCAACATGTTGACATTCGGGTTCAATATGTTTGCTTGCCAAGGTTGTTACCTCTACTTCTGTTTTTTGACTAATATTAATTTTTTCAGTTCTATACGTTGTCTCATCATCATCTTTCTTTTCATGATCAATTTCTATCAAATATTGTTTGAATTTAGTAAATACAAATATGAATTTAATAAAAGTAAATATAAGTTATAAATTCACTTTTATTAGCACAGCATTTTTACTTAATAATACATATATGTATATGTGTGTGGTTGAATCAACAAAGTAAATTAATAACATTCCCATTATGCATATTAATAAAATGTTGAAACATCTGTCGAATATTTACATAAAATTAAAAGCTTTCGCCAATGTTGCAAACATTATAAAAAGCTTAAAGTTTTTCTGAATGAGAGAAGATGAAACATTCAGCATTGAGTTTTCTCTTTAAATTTCTAAATGTTTTGCATTGATGTTGAATTGAGTGCTCTCAATGCTGGAACACAAATTTTTTATAGAAATTTATTCTAATTAGTAACATTTCGATTTGTGTTTTTAAGAATATTTTTGAAATGTTTACCAATGCTTACAAATAATACAAACTTAAAATTTCACATAATTTATTATTGTGTTGAGCCACTCATTTCAATAAGGTGGGTAGAATACTAATTACAACTTGGCTTGAAGCCATTAAGTAATGTTTCTCTTAGATTTTAATTAGAATCTTATTACAAATATTGGTATCGCGATAAAATGTTAAATTTTTTCATAGATGCAATTACTAACTATGAATGAAAGTTATCTTTGTACCTGTGTTTACAAAATTTCAAAAATAAATCATTTGTAACTTGTATGGAAGGACTACTTTATAAGGTGCGCGCAGTTCGTTTAGACGCACTTAATTTTTTTCAAATTTTCCTTTAATAAACACTATTAAGACAAAAACTATTTTATGTGTTTATAGCTATGACCAATTAGGTTATAAATATAATAAAAGTATCTGACTAAATGCTTTGCTTAAGTAATTAAAATAATTTTTTCAAAAATTACAACAACAAAGTGCGCAGTTCGTTTAGACGCACTTTGAAAAATCTAAAATTTTGTCTTATTTACGTTTCGTAGAAAACTTAATCGTTTCTAATATTAATCTATCAACAAAAACGAGTAATTACTGAGGGTTTTAGAATTTTCCATCAAGTTTTTCCAGAGATTTTCCTTCATTAAAGTTTTCATGTTGCAAAAATTTTGATAAATTATTTATCCAATAATTTTGCGTTAAATTATTATTCTTTTAACTGATTTCCATAGATAATTGTCCATAATATTAGAAAATTAACAGATATTTAAGCTTTCTTCTAAGTATAAGGCGAAAATATGTGAAAAATATAATTATGGTGAAAAATTTCCACCACTCTCATAGATTAATCAACAAATTTTGACAAAACTGTAGATACCATAATAAATTTGAATAGACCAGCTTATTTATCGTATTAAACTTAGTTAAAAACAGAAAACTGCACAGCTCTATGGCTAATGGAACTTGAAAATTTTACTGATAAATTAAGTTGTGGTGAAAAAATTTCACCATAGAAAAATAAAATTTTAAAAAACGTTGTTTTAGGCAATTGTTTCATTTAAATTAGGTTGTAAAAGTGTTTCTGTCTCAAAATTAATCAATTTAAAACATGAATTAAAACCTTAGACATAGTTTTTTTAAAATTTTATTTTTCTATGGTGAAATTTTTTCACCACAACTTAATTTATCAGTAAAATTTTCAAGTTCCATTAGCCATAGAGCTGTGCAGTTTTCTGTTTTTAACTAAGTTTAATACGATAAATAAGCTGGTCTATTCAAATTTATTATGGTATCTACAGTTTTGTCAAAATTTGTTGATTAATCTATGAGAGTGGTGGAAATTTTTCACCATAATTATATTTTTCACATATTTTCGCCTTATACTTAGAAGAAAGCTTAAATATCTGTTAATTTTCTAATATTATGGACAATTATCTATGGAAATCAGTTAAAAGAATAATAATTTAACGCAAAATTATTGGATAAATAATTTATCAAAATTTTTGCAACATGAAAACTTTAATGAAGGAAAATCTCTGGAAAAACTTGATGGAAAATTCTAAAACCCTCAGTAATTACTCGTTTTTGTTGATAGATTAATATTAGAAACGATTAAGTTTTCTACGAAACGTAAATAAGACAAAATTTTAGATTTTTCAAAGTGCGTCTAAACGAACTGCGCACTTTGTTGTTGTAATTTTTGAAAAAATTATTTTAATTACTTAAGCAAAGCATTTAGTCAGATACTTTTATTATATTTATAACCTAATTGGTCATAGCTATAAACACATAAAATAGTTTTTGTCTTAATAGTGTTTATTAAAGGAAAATCTGAAAAAAATTAAGTGCGTCTAAACGAACTGCGCGCACCTTATTACCACAAATAGTTGAGCACTTATTAAAAATTGTTCGTCTCGAAAGCAATCGCAATCATTGAACAAAAATTAACTTTTAATGAAAAGCCACCAAGAAATGAACAAACAATTTTTTTTTGATGTGATAATTGAATCATTAGATTAAACAAAAGAAGCTCAGATTTCATTTAATTGAGATGTTACTGATGATCACCTGTTGTTGATGATTATAGCTAAGAGTTATTTTCATTTTCAATGGGCTTAATATTATCATTTAATCTCATTGCTACATCATGAGCTATCTCATTAAAATAACAAATTTTCTTCTCAAAGCTAATGCATAATACTGTAATTAATTTTTCTTATTTTAGAACTTTTGTCAAGATTTAATCTCTTTAGTCTCAAAAGGTTTCAAGTCGTTTGTTGCATTCTCGTAAAGAAATTTAAAAGCAAGGCTAATAAGTAAATCTTTTAAATCAATTTGCAATCAAATAAAGGTAACGGATAGAAGATACTGAAAATGAGATTTGCTTGTACAGAAAAACCTAAACGTTTTTTTTTGAAGCAAAAAAAAAGTTTTATGCTTCTCGCTCTTTTGCTCATGCTTTTTAATTTAATATAACACTTATCCTTAACCACAACTTCAAGAATGTTTTTCTTTCGTTTTCGTTCTTGAAAAAGGGGGCTGTACATCGATAATGTGCTTTATCTTCATCAATACAGATACATACCAATACAATTTCCAGTGTCGTCTAAACGTAATTCATCATCGCATTCATTTCGTAGATCTAATTTGACAGTCGAAGATTGATGATGCATTCGGGTATATTCCTCTTCTCGGTCCACATCATCCTCATCATTATCATTAGTTGAATTCTCAACAGATTCATTTTCAGTTTCACTAACCGCATAATGGTGCGTTATTGTTGTCGGTTGAATATGTAATGATGAATCTGGTGTAGTTATTGATTCCACTGGCTCAGGTGTTGAATGATGAATGTGAACTGCCTCCGGAATTTCATTATCAATAATCTCACGTGTCTCAGTTGTATTTTCCTCGTCCAAATCCTCTCCATGTTGTCGTACCTTATCACTTTCGATTTCATTTTCCTCTTCTTCGTCCTCTTCTTTCTCTAGTCTTGATGGTGCTTCAGGTATTTTATTGATTTCTGTGTCTACGTTTTCTCCAGATTCAGATTTAATCTTAACACTTTCCTCCTCGTCATCATTTTCGTTATCATCCTCATTTTCGTCATCGGCATCTGATTCACTTGATGTTGTTTTTCGTCTATCTTCTATTGCCTTTTGCCTATAATTTTCATTGTCTTCTGAATCTGATTCAACTAGAATTTCATCTCGTCTTTCAATTTTCTCATTTACATCATCCACTTTATTGGTTTTCTCTTCATTTTCATTTTCATTTTCTATTATCTTATTATGTTTAATAGATTCTTCAGTGGTTGAAATTGTTGTTGGTGTTTCTGGAGTTGTGGTGCTGGTTGTTGAAGTTGAAGAAGGCTCAAGACATGTATAAGTGCCGTATGAATTTACACATACATTTTCTCCACATATTGATGGATTTTCCAAGCACTCGTTTAAATCTGTCAACGAAAAGAAAAAACGTAAAGTTCAAACAATTTTTTTATGCTCTATCCGGTTGATTCATCTAGTAAACTTCTTCTTGAAATGACTCAATGTGTACAAAGTAGAAGCGAAACTTGTTAAGGGAAAAAGTGTGAAATTTTTTTCATTCAAAATGATGTTATAACATCATTAAAGAGCTCGTTAGTAAGTTTCACTATGAAAAATGTAAACATGTCAAAGTTCTTTTTCCTCTTATATTTTCTTCTTCAAAAAAAAAAAAAACAGCAAAAAAAGATACAAAAGCGGAATTTTTTTTTCTCATCACAATGTATACAAAGATTCTTGATTTCTTATTCAAACATAATCTTTTAATGTTCCTTTCATTTTGCCGTGAATAAAGAACTATGCACTTTGAGTTTCATTCTGCAATTGTTAGTTTTCATTTTCATTTTTCTTTTCAGTTATGCTGAATGAGTTGCTTTGAGTATGAAATTAATTTTTATGATTATAAAACTTTAATGAGATTTTTGTAAGTTTCATCATTTAAAATTTACTGGATGAGGAATTATGAAAACTAAGATTAATATTTGAAGAACTTGCTCATTTGTATTAGAGAAAATTCATAAAATAATGCTGCATCAAACATAAGAATTACATTGTAATTCGCTTGATTATGTGAATTTTTGCGATGGATATGTATGCAACGCTTATGAAATTTCGGTGTTGGGCAATTCCAAGCGTGAAAAAAAACTTTTTATATTCACACCGTTTTCACGTGTGAACCAATTGGTTTTGTTCAGATTGAAAAATCAGTTTTTTGAATTTTGTGAGAATATGGAGCAAGATAGCTTAAAATGTTCAGAAATGAAAAGTTTGTGCCTTGAATTTCACATCTTTTGCAAAAAACAGATTTCAAATTGATTGCGGCATTGCTGAAAAAATCGCAAAAAATGCTTTCTGTAAGCAAGCAAACAAGCAAGTTAATCAGCAAGAAATCTCGATAACGAGACATTGTAGAGACTTCTAGTTTTTTACATTTGATCCGTGCTGCTCTATAAAAGAGCTGTATTGTTTTAAGGCAAGGTAAGAACAGCCGTTGCTTCAGAAAAAGCAAAAAACTTTCCTTTCTTATGAATTTTTCAAAAAGAAAGTTTACTGTGATTTTTTTTTAAATTAAACTTTGAATGAAAAAAATTTTTTTGAGCAAAGAACCAAGAAGGAAATACATTTTCAATTTTGGACTACGGGCGACCCTAGTCAAAATCAATTTTGTCACTTATTCCTTCGAGGGTTTATCCAAATGGATTGAAACTTTGCATAAATATTCTAGTGCTTAAAACAAATACAAATAAAACATGAAAAAATTTTTTTGAGCAAAGAACCAAGTAGGAAAAACATTTTCAATTTTGGACTAGGGGCGACCCTAGTCAAAATCAATTTTGTAACTTTTGTCTTCGAGGGTTTATCCAAAGGGATTGAAACTTTGCATAAATATTCTAATGCTTAAAACAAATACAAATAAAAAAATGTGGTTCAAATAAGGGTGAAGTATGGCCGAGATTTGGACCAAAATCAGCTATACTGTTTCATAGTGTTCCCGAGGGTGACAAAATTCAAACTAAGTGTTTTTGTAGCTGACATAATTATGACATAAATTAGGTATAACTTTTGACTTGTGTCGATATGAGTCTCGGCCGTACTTCACGCCCACCCTTCAAACTTATGCTGAGCAAATCTTGGTCTATCCATAAGACTTTTGATGGTACGGTGTGAATATATCCGCATTGGGTTTCTACCCGATACACTAGTTCAACTTAATTTTTTGCCAATATTTATCGACTTGTTTTCAATCCCAATTAGTACACAAATCTTTGATTCAATGTGTTATAAAAGAAAAATCTAAAAAAAGTGTTGTTAATCGGTTGTATTTAATATTTTTTCCTACACATTATTAAGTTGCAAACTTATATTAAACACATTAGTTTTTACGCAGGCTTTCATTCAGTGTTTTATTTGTAGGTCTTTGTGCTTTAGTTAAAGAGTTTTTACAAAATCTAACTAGTTTTTCATCGATTTTGAGCTTAAAACACATTAAACATCCAAAAATAAGTCTTATTTGGGTCATTGAAGTAAGTAAAAATCTCTATTTAAAGAGAAATAGCAAAATATATGTTTTTCCGAAAAAATTCAGTTCCCTTTACTCATGAAATTACCTATTTGTCAACAATCATTAGTAAAAATATAAAATCTATTATAATAGATTATAACCACAAGGTTAGCTTTTGAATGTTTTTTAATAATAATTATACAATTTTATAAAATTCTAATTCGCTCGTGTCTCATTTAGATATGGCCCATTTTTCGAGGTTTTTTTAAGTGCTTGGCTATATTTTTAAAAATATTAAATGATTACAAAAACACTTTATTCATTCATTAAAAGTGTTTCTTTTAAACAGAAAGCAATTAAATTATATTCAGATATTTGAACACACAAAATATTTATTTTCTTCTTTTAACAGAGGAAAAGTGCACCAGCAAGAATAAAGCAGATGAGAATTTATTACTCAAATAGAATCACATTATGAGACGGCGAATTTAAATAATGTAGACAAACGGTACACATTGTTGTCAATTTATTTTAATTTTTTATTATCGTTTGCTTGTTTTGCTCAGGGTTGAATTTTTCAAATCTTATCAATCTAAATATTTCTCAACAAAGACATAATATCATTTCAACTCTGATTTAATTTTCCGTATTATCAACCTTCATATTGTTCATGTTTTGTCACATCACAATTTCTTTTTGTATATGAAGCTTCAAGTTCAAGGTGAGAAGAGAAGCAGAAAAGAGAAAATCATGAAATATAGACACAGTCACAGTGGGAATAGACATGAAGCAATTGTGAAAGATCTATTTCATTTTAAAACAATATCATCGTGAGCGTACGTACGTGTTCTGTTTTATATGCTTGTAGAATTGGGATGTTTTGTGATTAATGTGCGTGCAATTTATATTCTCATCTTTATTGACGCTGATAATGTATATTGGCAGGGGATGGAAATCAATACAAATATAAAAATAACGTCGATGAGAATATCTAAAGGTTTAACATGCTGTCAATTTTGCTAATGTACGGGTGAATAAAAAGAAGAATTGCGTCAATTATTCATCAGACCTTTGCTATGTTGTGTAGACTGTTCTGATCTGTTTTGCAAAACTAATGTCAAAAGAATAAGATTTTTCTATAATTACAAAATGATTTTAACATCGAGATACAAGTCATGCAATTAAAGATTTATCAACTGATCTCAACTAAATTTACTATTTAAAAGACTTGAGACGAAGAATATTTTTTAATTTTCCCTTAATTTTGAGCTTTAAATAAACTTATAATAATAATAAAATTATTATTTTTAATCCGCAAAACAAGTCTTAATGATCAATAAGTGTTCACACCTAGCAACATTATCCAGCATAGAACTCATGTTCGTATATCATGTCTACATGTGTTAATGTCTTCAAAGTGCAATCTCAAAATACCTCATCTTCATGTTCATAATACAATAATTAAGTTATCAAGATTTGAAACTTTTACAGTCCATTAGTTTTCCGTCTTTATCATTTGTTGTTTCTTAATTCACATTAAAGCATATATTGTGTGCATGTTTGTTTTTGTGCATAAGTTAGTGTACACATTATGTGGCAATATTTTCCTTATTCAAAATATTAGTCAAGAAAATGAGAAAATAATGAAGCGAATGAAAGAAAAGTAGACAAAAAGATTTTTATTGAATGAACATGAGATGATGTGAATGAAGAGAATAATAGAAAATCTTTTTACTTAAAAATAGATATGAATTCATCACATCTCGAAGCTCATTCAACCACGTGCTCGTGATTATGAAATATGATTCAAACATGAAATTAGTGTCAATTTTAATCTCGATAGAATCTCTCTCTCTCTCTTGATTGTAATGCTTACACTCATTTCAATTATGTTGATTTCTTCAATCAGCATTATTGGAATTGATGAATTATTTAACACAAGTATTTTTCTATAGTACAATTTTGAATGAGTTTTTTAGTTTAGACTTTAACACAGTAATTTTACAAATTTGAACTTAATTTGAATAACATTCCCTAATATATTCAACTTACCTATACACTTCTTATTGTTTGTCGTATCAATTTGAAGTCCTGGATGACATAAGCATTCGAATGAGCCCGGCAAGTTATTGCAAATTTGTTCACATTCGTGATTCGAATCACATTCATTGATATCTGCATAAGTTTGTCGTAAAAAAGGAGATAATACAATGAAAGTTAATTAAATGAAGCAAGAATAGACAAGAATGGATAGGAACAAGAAAGAATGAGTAGATGAATATCGATTTTAAGGGAACAAAATGAAGTGGAAAAGTTTATCTTACCATGACATCGTCTTCCATCGTTCTCATCAAGTGTGTAACCGATATAACATGAGCATTGGATTCTAGGATCTACATCATGTTCATCAATAACCATTCGGCACTCATGGTCGCAACCTCCATTATCTGCATCACATGGCATGGAATGACTCCTTCTTGGCTCCATCTTTATCGTTGTTGCTTCAATGCTTCTTGATTTTTCAATTTCATTATAATCGTGATGACTTGCCGTTGTTGAAATTTCATTATCTTGTGAATGACGATGCTCCTCATTTTTTCTGCCGTCATCCTCACTTTCACCACCTGATACATTTCCGTTCTCATCGCTATAATCTAATGTCATGACATGCCATGAGGAAGAAAAAAATTGTGGAACGAATAAAGAGAAAAGAAGAATATTTTTTTGTTAGCATAACTTTTCATAAATAATTTGCATTCATAATTTATTCAGCACAAACTTTTTCCGCCTTTTGTCTGTCTCTATACACTTTCAGTTGAACTCATAAGAGAACAATATTAATAATAAGAATAATAACAAGGAGATTTTTTTTCTTTTTTCCCACTTTGTATTGTGGATGTTTTGTTCTCGTGGTGATAAGAGTGAAAATTTATATTCGCAAAATCAATATTTTTATGACCCAATGGGGAATAAATTAATTTTTTTGTACTTCTTCGCTGTTTTACTTTTATCAAACACATTTTGATCTTATGGTGGCGTTTTATAATGTTGATTTTACAGCTTTAAAGGCAAATTTTTTCTCTCCATCTTAAATTTTTGTCTATTCTCTTCTTCTTTTTTTTTTTTTTTTAAATTAAACTTTTTATTTATTTACATTTAAATTTAAGTATGTACAAAGTTTCTATACATTTTGTTGCTTTTTGTTTTAAGGTTTCAGGCATTCAATTTGCCTTTTGTCTCTTAATTTTGATTTCATTTACGGATTTTACTTTCTTTTGTATTTCATTTGATTTATTCGGTGTTTTGAGATGCAAGACGACTGTTGAAGTTCGCTTGCAACTTTCCGACGTAGTCTTCGATGGACGGTATTTTCGCTTCTGTATGAAGATCGGTGATCCTTTCATATCTTGTTTTGTTGAGAACAATTCTCAAGAATTTGTTTTGCAGTACTTGAAGTTTTTGAAGGTGGGTTTTTGCCATGCTTCCAAACGCTGGACAACCATATGTGAATATTGGTCTGATGGCTAGCTTGTAGATGAGAAGTTTGTTTCGTACGTCGAGTTGTGAGTTCCTGCTGATGAGCGGATAAAGCTGTCTTAATGCGGTGTGAGCCCTATTGGTCACATACTCCACATGCGGCTTTAATGTCACTCTCTTGTCGATCACCATTCCCAGATATTTAGCTTCTGTTTCCCATTTGATGTTTTCGTTGAGAAATTTGATGTTATTTCCTGGTAGTTGCCTGGAGTGCCTGTTTGTGATGAATAAGGCTTGAGTCTTCTGTTTGTTGAGGTTGATCTTCCATTTGTTCATGTATTGTTGAACTTTTCTTCCTGTGTGCTGTAGATGTGTCACAATATCGGCCGAGTTCTCTGCAGAATGATACAGTGCTGTATCATCTGCGAAAAGACCGATGTTGTTGGTTGTCTCTCTTACAACATCATACGTGAAGATGTTGTAGAGAGTTGGTGAAAGCACTGCTCCTTGTGGCACTCCGAATTTGATTACCTTGATTTCTGAGAACTGACCTTTAATAAAAACTGCGAAAGATCTTTCACTGAGGAAAGATCTTACAGTTTTTATAAGTGGCAGTGGGAATCTCAGTTTGAGCATTTTGTACAAGAGTCCGTTATGCCAGACTCTGTCAAATGCTTTTTCTACATCCAGGAAGATCATGCCTGTTGACTTTTTGTTGTTTAAGTTTTCTTTTGCTGATTTGATCACTTTGATGAGCTGGTGAGATGTTGATCTTCCAGTCCGGAAGCCGCACTGCTGGTTTGGGATGATGTTGTTATCCTCAAGATGATCGTTGATTCTATTCAGTAATACTCTCTCCAGTATTTTGCTTATTGAGCTGAGTAGACTTATTGGCCTGTAGCTGCTTAGCTCATTTGCTGGTTTTCCAGGTTTTGGAATAGGAATCACTTTTGCATGTTTCCAAACTTTGGGGAAGTGGTTGAGTTTCAGACACGAATTGATGATGAATTTCAAGTATTCGAAACCTTTTTCAGGAAGATTTTTGATGAGTATGTTGTTGACTTCATCTAGTCCCGGAGCTTTTGGATTTTTCAGATTTCTTATGATGCTCACGATTTCGTTTACATCTGTTAGTTCTGGATTCTCATCATTGTCTTGTTCCAATGCTTCTTTGACTGTGTTGTTTACTTCCTGTGTATGTTGTGGATCGTTTTGTTCCAGAGGATTTTCGTGAGCTTCACGAAAATACTCGCTGAGTGCGCTGGCTTTTTCTTTGTTGGTGATGAACGTTTTACCCAGATTTGTCAATGGAGGCATTGTTTTTGAACCTTTTTTGCAAAATTTTGCTATTCTCCAAACTGTTTGATTTGACGGTTGAATCTCTGAGAGACGCTTATTCCAGTTTTTGTTTTTGAGTTCTTTAATTTTCTCATTGATGACTCTCTGCAGATAATTCAATTCAGATTTGAGTTGATTATCTCTGCTTCTCTGCCATCTTCGACGAAGACTCCTTTTTGTGTTGATTAGATCTTTAATCTCCGGTGTGAGTTTAGTTGATTCGAACTTGATCTTTTTCATTTTTACACTTGAGTTCCTCGCTTCCATGATGAGTTCAGAGAGAATCTTAATGTGGTTCTCGATCTCATCTGTTGTATTGCAAGAATTTTCTCCAATGTTGTCTTCAATGCGGCGTGAAATTTGTGCTTTGAACTTTTTCCAGTTTGCGTTTTTGTAGTCATATCTGTAGACTGTATTTTCAGTTCTGTCGATTTTTGATGTTTTGATTTGGAAATACACAGCGCAGTGATCACTCATTGCCTCTGTGCATTGAAGTTCTGTTGTTTCGAGGTTGGAATTCGAGAGCATCAGGTCAATTGTTGACACTGATTTGTTTCGATCTTCTGGGTAGTACGTTGGCGAGTCAGGAAAGTAGATCATGAACTCTCCTGACATTTCCTGAAGAATATTTCCTGATTTATTTGCAACGTTGCAGTTCCATTCTCGATGTTTTGCATTGAAGTCTCCACAGATGTAGTAATTTCCTCTCAGATTTGTTATTTTGTTGATGTCATCTCTCAGATGTAGATCTATTTCCCCTCCTTTGCTTCCTCCTGGGAGATAGACTGAGAGGATGTGACAACTATCCGTGTCATTGATGAAGACTTTGATTCCAATGCATTCCATTAGTTTTGTGTTGTAGCTTGGTTGAAGCTGATGTTTTAGATTTCTTTTGACGATGATTGCAACACCACCCTTTGGTCTATCCACGCGATCCAATCGATGAATTACGTAGTCTGGATGCGAGTCAATTTTTGAGTTTGGTTTTAGGAATGTTTCTGAGATGCAAGCAACATCGACGTTTTGCTTGCTTAGGTAGTCGAGAAATGCTAACATTTTGTCAGTGAGGCCGTTAGCATTCCAGTAGAGGACGTTGATACTTTGTTGTCTACAATCCATTATTGTATGCGGTGTTTTTGGCACTTGAGCCGATTGCTTGGAGTATTTCGTCGATGAACTCTGGATTTTTGGCGATTAATTTGAGAAGCTCGCTGATAAGGTACTTGCACTTTGATACCTCTATTTCTGAGATGTTTTTATCTCTTGTGCTGGTGCTTTGAGCTTGTTGATTAGTTGTTATGTTTCGGTTCACTACCTCAACACTGAATGAAGGTTCTGGGAAGACTTCATTCGAGGTCTGACTTGTTGCACTGATGTCTTCTGAGTCCATAAGCTCAACAACTTGCTTTGGTTTTTGATGTTGATTGTTATTAATGCGCTCGTTTTGCTTTTTTCTTTGATTCTTTTTCCAATGTTTTCCTCTTTCTTTATTGTTTTGTTGGTTGTTCAAGTTATTTTTATTTCCCTGATTTGAGGGTTTGTGATTTGGAGGAGGATTTGTGTTCCTTGGTTTGTGGTTGACTGGAACTTGTTTTTGATGAACAGGCTTTTGTGTACCAGATGTTGATGGTTCCATATACTCCTTTCTCCATTGAGGTTTTGGTGCATGTTGGACGTTTCTGGTTGATCTCTCAGGACGATGCGGTGTTGGAGGATTGTTTCTCCGTTGTCCATATGAATAATGGCCTGCTGTTTTGTTTTGATTTTGGTTGTTTCCATTTTGTGATTTTGATTTCCATTTTTCAATTATTTCTTGTCTGGTTTTACAACCTGTGAAAATTGCTGTATGTTTTTCACCGCAGAAGAAACATTTGAGTTTTCCGAGTGGAACCTTGTTGGTCTCTTTCGATATGTACTGGCACGTTTTCGAGTCATGTTTCTCAGAGCATCTGAAGCAAACGGACGGTTTGTTACAACCGTTTTGTCCATGACCAAACTGCAGACATTTCGAACATTGGGATGGTCCAGCTTGTCTATTTTTGTAGTCAGCCCATTTAATTTTGAAACTGCTGACAATTTTGATTTTTCTGAGGAATTCCAGGAAATTTCCACCTTGTTCTACATCTTTTTTGAAGTACACGAGGTAGTTCTGGTCGTCGTCATGTTCGTGTCTTTTGTGTTTCATTGTCATTTTGACAATTTTTACTGGTGTGATTTTTACGGTTTGAAGTTCCTTCTCCAACTCACTGATTTCCATATCTGGGAGTCCATAGAGTACGTACTTCTTCAGTGGTTCTTGGCTGGAGTATGTGTGGAAGTGATGCTTTTTGTCTTTGAGTAGTTGGATGAATTTCTCGTAGTAATCCCAACTCTCCGTTGTTACCGTTTTTGTTCCTTGTTTGCCCTTTTTGGTCTCAATTAAGAAACTTCCAGGTTGATTGTTTATTTCATTCGTCAATCTCTTGATTTCACCAGCTCCTCCTGTGCTGATGACAATTGGAGGTGGTTTTGATTTTTGTTGAGATTTGTTGTTGTTGCTTTCCGTGTTTACGGAAATTGTCTTTTGTTGCTCTGGTGTTTTGCTGTTTTCTCCCCAGTACGAAGAAGTTGTCGATCTTTTTTTCTCCTGTTCTGGTGAACCAAATAGATACGGTACTCCAGAAGACGAAGCTTTCTTCACTGGTGGGAGTACGAACAGTGGTTTGTTCCCATCTTTTGGTTTGCTTTCGTTTGCTACTCTTTTTAAAAGAGCGTTGGGAACTATCACTTCTCGAGGGCGTTTTTCTGCTTTACTTGCTTCATTGAGAAACTTCTTTATTGATATTTGTTTTTTTGGTTT